GGGAGCCCGATGCGGGGCTCGATCCCAGGACCCTGGGACCATGACCTGAGCCGAAGGCAGACGCTTAACGACTGAGCCACCCAGGCGCCCCGGGTCCTTAAGTCTTAATACTGGTAAGATGGTAGCACTACCCAAAGTGATCTACACGTTCCTGCAATTTCTTTCAAAGTCTCAATAATCTTTTTGCGCAGAAATGAAAAATCCAATCTTCAAATTCATATGTAACTATAAGGAGTCTCAAAAAAAGTCAAAACAATCTTGAAAAAGAAGAACAAAGCTGGAGGACTCAAACTTCCTGATTTCAAAACCGACTGCAAAGCTACAGAATCAAAAAAAGGGCCGCACTGGCCTAAGGACAGACATACAGGCCAATGGAACAGAACAGAAAGCCCAGATAGAAACCACCACATTTACAGCCAAAAGATCTTCGGTAAGGGAGCCAAGACCATTCAATGGAGAAAGGACAGTCCTTTCAACAAATGGTGCTGGGAAACTGAAATTAAACGCAAAAGAAATTGGGCCCCTAACTCCCTTTACAAAAACTAACATAAAATAGGGCACCTGGGTGGCTCAGTTGTTAAGTGTCTGCCTTCGGCTCAGGTCGTGATCCCAGAATCCCGGGATGGAGCCCTGCGTCGGGCTCCCAGCTCAGCGGGAAGCCTGCTTCTCCCTCTGCTCCTCACCTCGCTTACTCTCTCTCACACTTCCTCAAATAAATAAATCTTTAAAAAAAAATTCAAAAATTAACATAAAATGGATCAAAACCATAGGGGAAAACCTGCATGACCTTGCATTAGGCAATGATTTCTTAGCTATGACAGCGAAAGCAGAGGCAAGAAGAGAAAAAACAGACAAACTAGCCTTTAGTAAAATTAAGAACATTTGTGCATCAGAGGATACTAACGACAGAGCGAAAAGATAACTGACAGAATGGGAGAACGTATTTGCTAGGTACATATCTGACAAAGGATTAATATCCAAAATATATACAGAACCCCTAAGTCGACAACAACAACAAAATAACCCGATTCAAAAATGGGCAAAGGACTTGAACCAATATAGCTCAAAAGAAAACATGCAAATGGCCGACGAGCCCGTGACAAGACCCGCACCATCACGAACCGTCAGGGACACGCAGATGAAACCCACAGTGAGCTGCCGCTTCATGCCCCCGAGGGTCATAATCACAAAGAGGGACGACAGCAAGTGCCGGCGAGGGTGTGGCTGGATTAGACCCTCATACGTCGCTGGTGGGAATACAAAATGGCGCGAGAGCTGCGGACACAGCTTGACATCTGCTCAAAAAATCAGACACGACTTCTCTAAGACCCAGCAGTTGCACCCCTAGGACTCACCCCCGAGACGGAAAGCAGCGACTCAAACAAGCATGGGTACACGCATGTTCACGGCAGCACTATTCCCAACGGCCAAAAGGGGGAAAGGACCCACATGTGCGTCAAGAGACAAACGATCGACCAGACGTTCCCACTCGACGCGAGAGCGTTCAACCCGCTACGGAGATGCTCAGGGAAGGAGCCAGTCACAAAGGGCCCATGGGGTCCAGGGCGCCATTGACAGGCAACGTCCAGAAGAGGCAAGTCCACGGGGCGGGTGGCTGCCGGGGGCTGGCCGATGGGGGGCCGGGGAGTGACTGCCGATGGGATCAGGATTCTCTGTGAGGTGGCAAAACGATTCTGCAACCGGAACGACGACGAATCCGCCCAAACCCAGGCTTACACACTTTCACCGGGTGAACTGGAGACAGGCGAGCCCTATCTCGACGGGCGAACGCGGACTGCTTATGGCGGAAGACGCAGGAAGACGCATGCGCGCCTTCTCCCACCGGTCGGGCAGCCCCGGGCTCGCCCGGAGGGCCCCGCGCGCCTCGGCCGCCGCCTCACCTTGAGGTGCTGGTGCAGACAGTAGCGACACACCCTGTGCTTCACCTCGTGCGTCACGCCGCTGGACCAAGGGAGGAAGCCGCACTTCGGCTGCGAGATAAACAGGGAAGAAGAAGCGCTTAGGGGCCAATCCCATGCCTTCCAGGACGCGAGGCCCCAGAGCGCGAGAGGCAGGAGACTCGGGAGGTCTGATGTCCCCGAGAGCTGCTCTGACCTGCAGCCCCGGCGGGAAGAGACCCCTCCCCCACCCCAGCACATCCCACCCCTGCCGCTGCAGGAGCCTCCCTGGGGAGAACCGGACGTGCCTCCCTCACAGACTAGACAAAGCGAAACACTGAGCAGCTCCGTGCGTCTTCTGTGACACGACGTGGCAGGAAAGCCTCTAGGCGTGCAGGTCTGCCCCAGCCCCCAGCTCAAAGCAGCAGAACCCTCGTTTCCTCGGACACGGAGTGACCAGGAAGGCCCATCTAACAGCTGTCATGCTCACAGAACACCTGCTGCCTTTCTTTTTTTTCCCCTTTCCTTTCCCTCCTTCCTTCCTTCTTTCCTTCTTTCTTTACTTCCTTCCCTCTTTCCTTCTTCCTTCCTTTCTCTTTCATTCATTCAGTCGAGAAAAAGAGAGAGCACGTGCATGCATGAGCAGGGACAGAGGGGCAGAGAGAGAGGGAGAATCTTAGGCAGCTCTTATACCCAGCACGGTGCCTGACAAAGGGCTCAATCTCACGACCCCAAGATCATGACCTGAGCTGAAATCAAGAGCTGGACGCTTAACCAACTGAGCCACCCAGGTGCCCCCATCCGCTGCCTTTTAAAACCACAGTGTTGAGGCTCTGAAGACCATGCTGCCTGTCATCTGAGACCCACAATATCCACCCTGTGGTCAGGCAAGCAGGACATCAGTCCACACAGAGCACCCGGGGGTGTGAGTGCTCAGGGTCACAGGGGTGACCCAGAAATCACTGCCACAGAGCTTTGGAGGAAGGAGACAAACAATGGCCTGGGACATCTGGGAGGCGTCTCGAGGGGAAGAGGGCTCAGCGGCGCAGCAGACCCTGGCCCTCCTCCACTGGGGGGACAAACCAGGGCTCCAAAAGTAACACAGGCTTCTGGGCCTCTGCGGAGGTCTCTCCTGAGTAGGAAGCAAAGGAACGGAGTGCCACCCATCAGACGGGCACCCCCGGAACTGAGCTCCTGGAGTGTAGCGTCACCAAGCAGCCAAGGGGCATGGCTTGGAAGAAGGTGAGAAGGGGGCCTGGCAAGCAGCACCCTCCGAGGAAAACAGGGAAGACAGAACCCAACACACTTCCTTCTGCCAGTGGCCATCTGCTGGCTCCACGTCATAGCACCAGGAACAGGCCTAAATTTGAGGGTCTGGCCAGTGGGAGGAACCAGAGCAGCAAGGTGCAGGTGACAGACATGAAGGAACAGGAAGCAAGCCGAATCTATGGGAGTTGGGGGCTGGGAAGGGACCATGAGGCCCAACGTGGGGAACCCCAGGAGCTTCTGCTGCAAAGTGCCCTCCAGGTAGAAGACTCACAATTTACAATCTGGACCCTTGTTCCCCTCCCCCCACACCATCTTCCCCTTGACACAAGTTCACCTTGATCTCTACACAAAGAATCGGCCGGTGCTCTGCAAAACGGTAGGTCTGAAGTCTGGCTAAATTGGGAAGGCACAGGGCATAGCCACTGAAAGTGTCCAGGTCCTTGTCACAGCGAGATTCTGAAAGACAGAGCCAAGAAAAGACCTGAGAATCAGCACAGGACAGACAAGATGACCAATGGCAACATGGCGGACTCCTGTGGGGGAAGGCTCAGCCCTGCCCAAGAGAGGCCGTGGCCTCGGGCTCCTGGGAGGCCTCTAAGCCTCAGGAGGTCCTGCCTAAGGAGCGTCCATGTTTATCTGGGGGCTCTGGTCACACGAGTGTAACACTGTGATTCAGGGCGGGGGTCTGGGCCCTGCAGAACCGGCTCCTCCTCCAGAGGGGCGGCCAGCTGTGTCTGTGTGCCCCAGCCCCAACCCTGGCTGGCACTCCTCCTCCGTGTGGTCACACCTTGTTGCTGGGAGAAGCGAGCAGTGTGCACACAAGTCCAGTGGAGAAGCCGCCCGGGAGCTCACGCAGGTGTCTCTCAGACGCGCCCCAGAGCCTCTCCCCTGGTCTGGGTGTCATCTGCATCCCTCAGTGCGAGAAAACTTAGCCATGGGGATTACTGGGAGTTCAGGTCCTTCTAGCAAGTCATCAGACCCGAGCTCAGTGTGGGGACCCCCAACTGTGTGAGCGTTGCCAGAAGTGGAGTGGTCTTGGGGATCACCCCCACCTCTGCGATTCCCTTAGCCCAGAAGCTGAGAGAGGAAGGAGGCAACAGCCTCACCTTCCATCCACAACCGGTTCCTTCGGAGCCCTCCAACACCGCTACTTCTTGGAACCAGATGTCGGGCCCAGGACATCTTGTGCGGCTGCACAGGACACAGCCTCTGGGCCCCCGGGGGAATCAGCCTTCCTCCATTCGTGTCAGGAGGCCAATTACAAGGCATTATTACAACGAGGGACAGTTCTTATGACTGCCACATCGGATACGTTCAATTGGTAATTATAAAACCAAATGACGATGCAGAGCCCCTAGAACAAGCATCAGTCTGCCCTCGTCTAGCGAGGAACAGCCAAGACCCAGTCCTGGCTGGGACGCATCTGTGGCCTCCTTCCCACACCAGAGCCCTGCTCCGCAGAGCACCCCAAACCAGAGGCTCTGGGGCACAACTGCCCTGCTTGCTTTCTCTTTCCTAATCATAGAAGGACTGGACACCAGCCACCCCCCACACTACGGACATCACATCCGGTCTCTGACCGAAAGGAAAAGCTCTCACGTGCCACGAGCAGTGCAGAAAGGCGCGGAGGTGATGGGGAGAGGCGGGCACGTCTGTCCGCTGCCTGCAGGAGGCTGAGCAGCCAGGTGGATTCCCGCTCCTGGGAGAAGGTGCTCAGGGCGCCTGGGCCGCCCCAGGCTCCTGGACTCTGGCAGCCGCCCTCCCCGCCCGAAGTCTGCACCGCTCCAGCTCCCCTTCGGGCTCAGATGCTCTGTGCAGCGAGGGGAGTATCTGACGCCCAGAATCGCGTTCACGCGCTCCGAGCACGTTCTAGCTGAGAATAAGTTTCTGGCAGCAGAACTGCTGAAAACGACATCGACCTAACGTGTGCAGTGTGTCAAACGTTTTCCAAATGGAATATTTAAATCGCCAACAAAATGTGCAAGTGGAACTCTTACCTGGCCTTTCGGACTGTATCTTTAAACAAAGCTGTTTCACGAAATCTAGAGGCAGCTGAACCACTTCCTGTAAGAACAAGTGTGAAATACTCAGTGCGCCGCATGAGTGTGGACGTGCTTAATGCCACACAACTGCACTCTCAAAAATGGCGAAAATGGCAAAGTTCGTATTATGCGTATTTTGCCACGTTAAAAAATCACTTGTATGTGGGTTTAGAAATAAAACCTGCTCTGTTGTTTTGGGGATACAACCAGATCAAACGGACACAAAGGTTTCTGTGCGTGAAGCAACAGGCCCTCCTCCGAGCGCTGGCTTCCACGGGGAAAGGTGCGCCACCCAGTCGGTCACCGCGCCCACGCCCCGGCTCCCACCCCGTCTGAGGCCGACAGGGCCGGGCTCACCCGGTGCGAGAAGAAAACCCGCCACGACGGGAGCGCAGGGAGCAGCAGACGGGATCCATCTGGGGCCACAGGCGACTCAGCTGCTCTCAGCACAGTGTCCGCCAGCCCCCTTGCCTAAGTCGGTCACCAAGGTGAAAAGTAGAACTGCATTTCCTTAAACCTTAAATTCCTAATTTTACGATGAGCTCTATTTTAGGCATCCTTAACACTTGGCTACATTTACCAACCCGATTCAGACTCCCGCACCAGCATGAACCACGCCATCCTGCCTGACAGACGGACAGACGGAGGTAGTCAGCAGGGCAGGCGGTGAGCACCTACCTGCACAAAGTATTAACTTAGGAAGAACTACAGTTAAGACCACAGAATTCCTCTCCCGGAAGTGTAACATGGACGGCGTAGCCACACCAGGTTCCCTGCTGACGCGCACCTGCCCTCGAAGGGATGCAGGATAGCCGCAGAGAAGGACAAAGAGCCACCAGCCTGGGGGACTGGGAGGTGAGCAGCATGTCCAAAGTCTTCCAGAATCTTCCCCCGGAGAACAGCATGCCCTCACTTATCATCACGTCAAGTTCAAACGTGAAGTTAAGGCTGCCCCAGTGGTGTTCACCTCAGGAAGACTGGGTCCACAAAAGCAAGGCAACACTTTTAAAATTCCATCAGTGTCTCAACTGCCGAAATACTGAAGATGCAAGACCTGAAGGCACCAGGGAAACAGCCTCTTCCACATTTCCTAACCTCCAGCTCCCCCGGAGACAGGCCCAGACTAGTCCCCAAACCCAGCATGATGGGTGTGCGTGTCGCTCCATCTGGGCCTCACGCTCCTGCACGGGCCTGTCCGGGTCTTGTCCCAGGACACAGAGGCGGGAAAGGCTCTCGCCAGGACTCCACCCACCACCCGGACTGGCGTCAGCAGTCACTGTTTACACATGCTGGTTTTGCCTGAACGTGGCCTTATGCAGGCCAGAGATGTGACGTTCCTGCATTTCAACCATGCCAGGGCCCGCGTCCAAGGAAGAAGAAGCAGGTTGTGTTTCACTTTGGCAGTGTCTTCATGCAGAGGACATGTGTCAGTGGGGTGGATATTCCCAGGACGTGACCTTGTGAGCCCACCTCATTTGCCCAGAGCCCCATCCACTGTGGACAAACAGAACCCAACCTGGAGCCAGAGTGCACCCTGGGCCCTGGGGGTACATCCGGATGCTGTTCCTACCTGCCAGATCACTGTTGGCTGGGACCCTGAGCTCCCCACTGCCCTATGGACCCCTCCTGGGAGAAAGGTCTAGGGCATCCCCCAAGTGCTGCGAACAGAGAAATGCCCTCTCCTCAAGGAGAAAGCTGGCATTCAGCACGGCTACATTCGTTCAGACACCATCCAGGCTGGTCAGAGACGTGGGGCTCCCACAGCCATGGGTTTCTGGCCTTCACAACTCACCTGAACAGCTGGGGACCTTACCCAGGGCAGCCCTGGGCACTCTCACCCCTGTGTAGCCCCACATCGCCCAGGGCTGACCTACGAGGCCAGCAGGATGCCGTGGAAAGGACAGACACGACTCCAGGACAGGTCATCTCTCAGACCACGAGCTGGGGCAGCCAGGGCCAGGTCGTACAGACACTCAAAGCCCTGTGGTGAGCCCACGTCGGGAGGTGCCGAGGCCCCCCAGCCAGCACCACCCTGCCAGCTCCACGGCAGGCCCACCCTGGAAGAGGGTCCATAGCCCCAGTGGACCCCTAGCAGCAGAGAGCTCAGTGATGCCGTCCGAATCTGCCCTGAGAGCCTCACCAAGCCGGAGCCCCCCCAGTGACGGCAGGGTGCCGGGGGCCAGGAGTCCTGGCATATGCGGATCTCAGGTGGTCTCTCTGAACCTCACGTTTCTTGGCTAGAAAACGGGACTTGGACTACCTGCTCCGTGCCTCCCACGCAGCCCCGGGAGAGAAGCACTTGGAACACAAGGGCTGTCAGGAAGCACAGAGGTCCAAGCTATAGTCCAGAAGCTGGTAAGACTGACATGGAATGTGCCTGTGAATTCAGACTGTGTAAATCAAAGTCACTCACCCCACAATGGACATAGTTCTCCCCCAAAAACTCTTTCATGACATTTTTGCTGAAGTCCACTATGTTCTGTAGGTGCTGAAATATTTCTTCTGAGGTCTGTAAAAGAGAAGCGCAAGGAGGCCTCAATGACCAGGGGAACGGGGCTGCCATGTCGCGGCCACACACGCACCAGGCACCCAGGCCTCGGGGAAGGGAGCCTCACCACGGAGCTCGCGTCCCGCAGGCCCCGCCCTCCTCCCACCCAGGACACACCCCTAACCAATGCCACTTTGAAAATCTCTCCTAGCCAAAAATCAGCAGGTATTTGGATTTGGGTCCTCAGCATCCAAATGGAGAATATTTCTTCCCCAGTTAGAGGCTCTTAACCCACAGGCTGTGAGATTTGGGGAAGGAAGGAGATCAGCCCTGAGTCCCTCACTCTGGCCCAGGGTGGCAAGTCCGAGGGTGGACGGCAGGGCCCTCAGGGGCCAGCAGGTCATGGGCTCTCGGAGGATCCCGGACTGAGCTGCCACCCACACCCCACACGACACGCAGGCCCCAGCCTGCGTGGGAGCAAAGCCCGAGAGAACACCCATAGCGCTCCCAGGGGCACCTACAGCTGTTGCCACAGAGCTCCTGACAAAAAGCTCTTCTTGTCAACAGAACTACCCTACGCAACTCCTCACCACGACCGGTGTCAAGCCATACCGTTCGTAAAATAAAGACAAACTGTTGCCTAGGAAGACGCTGCCCCACATCCAGAGAACGTGACCTTTCCAGGCGCTGCAGACTGCTTGGGGGAATGGATGGTACAAGCTGCCTGGAAAAGGATCTAGCTTCCACTCGGATCCACTTGATCCCACAGGAACACAACACCCTGAACGCCTCTCGCGGCAGCTGAGACAGGAAACGGCCTCCCGCCCAGGGCCACGTTCCTCCACACTGACCACACCGTCCCTAGGCCCCCCAGCTTTCTACCTCAGTCCCCTCAACTCCTTCTGTGAGGCCCTTCATTTCCACAGCCGTCCACCTCACCTGCCCCCTGGCGAGGTCTCTCAACCCAGATGAGCGCTGACTCCTGTTTCCCACACCCGGTGGGGGACCCAACTTCCACCCACCCCTCACCCCCCACCTACTGTGGGGTGGGACCCGTGGCCCCTGCCTGCTCTTTTTAATCACCCCCAGACGAACACCACAGCCGCTTCCCACCTGGAGGGAGACAGACACCACTACTGGGGGGCAGCTCGCTGAGCATGTGCATGGTGCTCTGCTTGGGTGACTCAGCAAACAGAACCCCGTGCTCCACCCACACGGCCTGCTGGGACTTGAACCACCGTCGGCCAGAGCACCAACTCCACCAGCGCAGCTAAGGTCCCACAGATGCGGAAACCGAGCCAGCAGGGTGGCAAAGCTGAGCCCTGGCCCTGGCCGTCCAGGCCACAAGCAGGGCTCTCTGCCCGCTCCTGGCCAGACCATCCCAGGGGATCCAAAGTGACTCGGGCAGGTCAAAACGCTGGCCCTGCAGGAACTACGGACACCCCACTTTCTGCGCCCAGTGCTGTGTCACATTTAAATTTCTACAATTAGCACTAATACTTGTGCATTAGAAAAAAATCAAACTTTTCTCAAATAATTGTTTTAATGACGGGGTGGCAAACCCACCAATCTTACCTTCTTCCTGCTTGGAGGGAACTTCAGGAAACGCAGCACCACACAACGCTATTGGGAAATAAAACAAAGCATGGTCAGTGCCTGCCCCGAGCCCGGAGACAAGGGGGTGGCTGTGGGGAGGGGGACCAGGCCTGGGCCCCGGGGCAACCAGAAAACCGGATACCTCTGGCTCAGCCAGCTCATTCCCAGGAACCGATCTTACAGAAATAACTACAGTGCACGGGAGACGGCAGCTACTGCAGACAGGAGTGTGGTTCGTAATTCCAAGTAAAAGGGAAACAACCCAAGGGGCCAACAACAGTGCCATGGCTAAACACGGCAGGACGCTGTCCACACTGCGGAGCGCTGGAAACGAAGACCGACGTTCACAGACGCGGGGGTGCGGTCACCACCCACTGGTGAGCGAGGAAGGGCACCAACAGGGCTTTAAACACACTCGTGCACGTGTGTATGGGTACAACTCCATTCATGTCAAGTTCAAAAGCCAGTAAGAGCAAGACCTAGCGACTACCCCACAGGTGGGTGGGACTGTCCCTGAGGAACATTCTGGAAGGGGCTGGTCACAGGATTACAGGTCCATGCGCTCTGTGATAATCAAGCTACATACACACTCACGATCCAGGCACATTTCCGTAGGTTTATTACACTTCATTTTTAAAAGTTCGTAAAATAGGGCGCTTGGGTGGCTCAGTCGGTTAAGCGACTGCCTTCGGCTCAGGTCATGATCC